CCTATTCATTGTGTTCTCCAACTCCTGCTCCCGTATCTTCAGCTCCTCCTCCAGCTGTTGGCCTCTCTGCTTCTCCTTTAAGCTGTCCTTCATTTTAAAGTGGAGCAAAAATAAATTAAAACAATTTCGTTTTATTGCTGAATGATACATTGGTTGAATTACTCAATTTAATTTATTTCTACATCTAGAAGTAGATGTAGAAAGATTGAAATAAATCTAGCTTTTAGCATAAGCAACACAAAACCGGAGAAAAACTTATGTTAAGTATATTTATGAAGCAAGGATTAAAAAGAGTTTTCAAATATTCCTTCGTATTTATTCCCTGGGATGTAAATATGATGAGAAAAAGTTCAGATTTTTATAGATATTTTATTCTTTCATGAAAATTTAAAAACCAGGCAGCGTGACATTGACTTTAAGGTGATTTAGGACCTAGGTTTTTAATTTTTAACAATTATATTGTTATTGAGTGAAAGTGCGTCAATCTGTGACTGACTGCTCGTAACTATACTCCGTTACTTGCCAGGACATTCTTGTAAAAAGAGATTTTTTTTTCCATCCTGATTAAATAACGGTTGATGGAGAAGATCTCCTAAAGTGTGAGAAGTGCAGCAAATAAGATCCATTGGAGGTGCGGCGGGGGCGGGACTACTAAATCTCCATAACAACCAGACCTTTAAACACATCTTGGCCAAGAACGCCAGAACTTGAGAGCATTGTATACCTGTACCTGAGCGGCCCATTTCTCTTTTTCCTCCCTGATCTGGCTTTCCATTTCTTCATATATGGATCGGACCATCTTGTCATGTTCGCTCTCCCTTCTGAAGCAAAACAGGTTTAAAAGATTAACTCTTTTCAAATAGTTTACATATAAACTGCAGAGCATTTAAGCAGCAGGGGGAAGGAGCGACCTGAGAAGAGCTTGTTCCAGAGTGTTTCTCTCTTTGATGGCGTCCTGCAGATTGGACACAGCGTGGACTAACAGGGACTCCAGGGCACTGAGCAGCTCTGGGCTGTCTCTCTGGAGATCACACCACAGGGTAAAAAGCTCCTGCTGGCTGTTAAAAATACAGAACCAAACGCTTAAATTCAGGTGCTCAAAGCATAGAGGCCCTGCCATCCAGCTAAGCACCTCACCCTCCCTTATCAGAGACAATGTACAACCTTTTTTCACTGGGGGACATTTCTACCAACATTCTGCAACTAAACACATCTTACTCTTTGAACATCTTGTCAGCACCGAGCTCCATTAGTATGTTGACAAATCTGGCTGCGGTGGGGTCCTGGGACCAGTCTACATCGTCCCGCAATGCCTCTGATCCATCTGGGTTCAGCTCAGCTGTTTCATCCACACCCATCAGTTCACCTGAGCCAAGGAACCAATAATATGTTCAACTTTTTGTTGTGTTAAAGTCACTAACTTCAAGGTAAATCATGGGAGAGCCACACAAAGTATTCCATAATTTTCAAGTGGAAGGAAAATAAGGAATGTTTGACAAAGAAAACTGTGAAATATGTGGAATACATTTGTAGCATTTCACTGATAGTGTTAAAATCCAGGGCAAAAAACTGCACTGAGGGGTCATAAAATTAGTAAGAGTTCACCTGTGTGTCAACAACAACAAAAAAAGTCCAGATTTTCTGTCAAGTCCTAAGTGGTTTGTTAGTGAACAAAACGATTCACAAAGATCAGGAAATAAAGCAGACAGGTCAGAGAAAGAATTGTGAAGAAGTTGAATCAAAATTGAAAAGCACTATAAACCCACCAAGAAATGGACTTTAACCTAAACTGGCAGGCTAGCCAAAGATAATATTAGAGAACCAGTCAGAAGGCCCTTGCTAATTCTGGAAGAGTCTACAGATAAACAAACCTGGTCTTTTTGGAAAAGTGGAAACAACACATTACTTAGTTCTAGCATCCTCTTTCAAACATGAAACAGGGAGATCTGTCTTGATGAGACCAAAACTTAACTTTCTGGCCTTTTTGCTAAATGAAATATTTAGCAGAAAACTAACACTGCATATCACCCAGAGTGAACCATCTCCATTGTGAAACATGGAGGATGCAGCATCATGGTGTGGGGATGCTGGGAAGTATGGCTGTTTGATATTGTAAAACAACCAAAAATAGGACAGAGATACTCCAGATCTAAATTTAATTTAAGAGTCTGTAGCATTACCTGAAAATGTATATCTCAGTATGACTGAGCTTGAGCCATTTTGCAAAAAGGGAAACATTTTAAGTCATTAAAGTCTTCAAAGCTGGTAGAGCCAAAACCAAAATGAACTGCTGAGAAAGGTGATTCTACAAATACTGTCCCAGAAGGGCTGAGTACAAATGCAGAGACTTTCCAGATTTTTATTTGTAGAAGAAAATAGAAATAAAGTTACATATCATTTTCCTTCCACTTCATAAATATGTACTACTTTGTATTACATACAAATGTGATTTATTATGACAAAAATGTAAAAAAAAAAAAGAAAATACAAGGAAATTATGGAAATTTTTCAAGGCAATGTGTCTCAAACAGCTTTGCTTCGTTCCACAGCCCACTCACCAAGTCCTGTTTTGAACTCAACAGGAGTGAGAAATCCATTGTTCTCTCGGTCCAAACTTTCAAACACAGTCTCCAGTTGTTCTGGGGAGAGCGGCAACTCGCCTTCTAACCTCTGACCACAGAACCAAAAACATAAAAATCAACACTTTAAAAATGAATGTCCTTAAAGTTGCTTCTCTACCAAACCAGCCATCATACCTGCATGTCTCGTTTTGTGATGAACCCTTTCCCCTCTTTGTCACATAGGACAAAGAGCTCTTTGGCTTTGCCCAGGGTCTCTGCCTGTGGGCTCAGCGGCATCGCCTCTCTGGCATGTGGTGAAGCCAGCGGGCTACGTCTTTGACTCAGCCTGGGGCTGCCAGATGGTAGGCTCCTCAGTCTGGGGCTTAGTGGGACCGCCTCACCCCTGCCTTGGCCCACCAGCACTTCACCATCATTCAGCCACATAGACATTCCTATAAGGAGACAAAAAAGAGGAATAAATGATTCAGTGATTATGTTTTGTCCATCTCTAGTCTACACAACAGGACTTTAAGTTGTTGATGAATTGGAACCAATGTCTTGCTTGTATGATAGTAGAAAATGCTGTATTAAATTAGCAAGAAAGTGTCCATGAGACTACTCCCTTGTTAAACACAGTGCAGAGTAAACTGTGACTGAGCACATGACACAAAGGCTGTCAGTTTGATCTCCACCACATTTCAAAACAATTTCAGATAACTTGTATCACACCATGATAGCTCAAGAAATTATTCCTTCATATTTATTGCAAAATTATCAATCCAAGGTGTGTCAAGATCAAATACAGTTTTGCAGAGCACAACAAGTTGTTCTCCCTAAAAGGAGAGCAGGATGTGTATGTGATTAAAAACAGGATGGTGTCATATGAGAAGAATTATGTGTTCTTGAAAGGGAGAGCAGCTAGAACGAGGGAAAGAGATGCAAATTTAACATTTGCAGTTGTTTGCATTCTCAAAGCCACCACAATTACAAGCAGATTTAACTCTAAAGAGCTACAGGGAAACAGCATTAGTAGCGACATCAACATTTGGAATTTTCTATTGAATACAATGAGCTATGCATTTTTTTACAGTAAGAGTGAATTCACATAAGTCACATTTTTCATTATAGTCTAACAAAAGCAATTTTGGACTTTCATATGCTGAACTAAAGTCAGGCTTAGTATAATATGTCTTGACCTTTCTACTGTATCTTTCTGCTCCGCTATCTGTTGATACATAAAACAAAACGCTGACGATAGTTGTAAATTATCTAACTGGTGGTCTGGGAAGTTTTCAAAACTAAAGGATATACTACACCAGATAAGAGCCTTGAGCAAACAGTGTGTTTTAGAGATTTAGTGGGTCAGTCGAACTCGAAACAAGCCAGAAGCCACACCAAAGTTCATAAACTGCAATAGACTCTATTCATTTTACATTAATTTTAAAGAGGTGGCAGAAGTTGTTCCGCTTAACTATGTTGTTCAACGTCAAACATATGTTCCCAAAAAATACCAGAGCACTTGAGATAAAACAGGTTTAGCAAACAAAACGCTTATAATTGCACATATAATTTTGTTAAACGCCTTCAGGACACATTTCATGCCCTAAAGTGAATGCGAAACTTGAAATTTAGGGCAGCATTTCCAAGCAAAAGAAACAAAACTCCCCACAGTAGACCATTAAAATTTAATTAAAGCAGAAGCCCCCCGCAGAGACAACAACTTACAGTGAACTAGTGAAGTAAAAAGAAGGTCAGAGTTAATTTAAGAAACACATGTCGCATAATAAGCTAACCGAAGTTGGAAAAAGTTAGATTACTCACCTGCAGCAGCCGCGTTACTACACAGTCCACTACCTTTGATCACTTAAGTCAGTCACTCAAGTTCCTGTCTTAGAGACTAGAGGGCGACTGCACGTTTCATATATTTGCCGTAATGTTGATTGTAGTCAGGAAAATAGAATTTTTGGATCTTGCTACATTACATTAAGCATAGCATTGTTTCACTGTTTGTAAAATAATATTTATTTTTCAAACAAATATTTGTCTATATGGCACTGGATAGTCTTGGCATTTAATAAATTTCAGAGCTGCTGGTCATAAATGAAGCATGTTGACTATCCAAGTCATCAGAGACCACACTCTGCAATACATTTAATAAAAGTGAGGGATGTGCAGAAATAATTGGCTCCTTGAATAATAATAATAATAATAATAATAATAATAATAATAATAATAATAATAATAATAATAATGCTATGCTGAAATTAAATTCTAGCTCTTTTGATGTAATTCCATTTTATGCATTCACATGAATTAACTTCTGTTTTTTTTTTTCTTCAAAGAAGTTTCACTTACTGTTTGTTGTGCTACACAAATGAACTTGCCCTTGCTTTGCTGCCATTACGGTAAAAATGAAACGTTACCATGGAATTACGGAAATACATGCGGTACTGCTGAAAAGGGCTGGGGGGGTGCATTGAGCTATCATCGTTTTGGGGGGAAAAAGTAGAAAGAGATGAAATGAAGAGCTACTTTTACTTCAGGTGAGTAAGCAATGACAATTTCTTAAACTCTGCTTGTATAACAGTCGATGTAGTTGTGTAGATTTTGTAGAAATCCCACACTTATCCGTCTCCGAGATTATCCGCTACCAGAAGCAGCGCCAGGCAGTCGTCATTAGGGGAATAAAAGCAGATGGAAGAACAACAGCAACAAAACAAGAGATTGTCGTCGTGCCCGCGTAAATTTAGTTCGCTCAGAGCCATAATCCCAGCAGCGACCTTTACACATGCCTGCCTGTGTAACAGCATGATGACCTTACATGGATGGGTTTACTTCTAATTTAGCTGTCTGAGGCAGAGGAGCGCTTACATCAACTCCTCGTATCGGTGGAGATTTACACGAAACCCAGGATGTTATGTTCTTCTGGAAGCTTTGCATCACTCTGCAACGTTCCTATTATTTTACTGGCTCTGTTTTTTTCTTTGTAGGTGATGCATTCAAGGGGATTTTCTACATGAAGGATGCCATCATACAGGACAAAAAATGCTCAAGTACCAGAATTTCGCTGACAGTTTGGACAAACTTGTGTCCTCAGATTTCTTTTATCTCTGCCAAAAAATATTTCAGAACATCTGTTTAAAAAAAACTACCAAATAAGTTATGTGAATGGACTACTTTTCCACTTTGTATAACCACATGGATGGTGTTTTTGTACTGAAGAATGTACGGGGTTCATGCTGAGTGCATAGATCTACTAATCAGAAGCGTGAAGGTAACCAGCCAAAGGAAAAGAGGACAGTGAAGATCAGGTGAAAGATGCTTCAGACTGGAAACTACTCACTGGTGCTTCTAATCCAACTCGTTTTGCTGGCCTATGACCTCTTCGTTAATTCCTTTAGTGAACTTCTGAGAGGAGCTCCTGTCATCCAACTTGTGCTTTTCATGTAAGTCACAGAGTATGATAATCTTTTAAATTTCATCTAGATTACTGTGAAATAGTGGTAGATATGAGAGATGCAAAGTTTAGGTTCTTTTGACCAATAGGATTTCTGAGATTTTTTTATTTCTGAGCTTCCAAATCTGATTTTGAATGATTTGCATTTTTGTTAAGAAATTATAACACATAAAGGGAAAAAAATGACTTGTATCTGAGTCTTCGAGGTTGTAATCAAACAAAAAATTAAGGACGGGCTTAATAATCCCAATTTGTACATTAAAGCACAGCCTATTTCCCTATGCCTGCCACAATAACAAATTTGAATGGACACAGAAGTTATTGTGATAAATGATAATATTGTTCTTTTTAGACTATTTTCACATAATATAATGGTAGTGGCATAATAATGCAAGTCCACCCTCTTAAAGATCAGTAATCTTTAAATTCTAACAAATATTTAATTCTGATCCATCTTTTGGTAGAAAGAGAAAAAAAAGATAAGTCATGCAAATGGAAATGATCAAGCTTGTTTTATTTTATTATGCAATTAATTGGTTTATTGCTTATTGTGACAAGCCTACTTGTCCCTAAGTTTTACCTGATTTTTTTTTTTTTTTTTTTCAAAAGCAAAATTTTCTGAATAAGTTTTCAGGATTTATCAATAGTCGATCAAGTCTTAAATCTGACCAATTGATTGCTGCATCTGTTGTAATAAATATATTAGAAACCTTACTGTTGGTTTTCATCTAATTGTATTAACTGAGACACAGTTTATACAATTACCTGTATAATTAACTGTACAGTTAATACTGTATTTCAGTTAATACAATTAGCCTCGATTTTAAAGAAATGAAAGTGACTTTCATTAGAAAGTAATACAGATTTAGCTCTATACACAAGAAAAATAATGTCCGATGTGAGAAAAAAATCACAGTTCAGTTTTTTTTTTATTTCTGAACTTTTTAGGCATTTCAGAAATTATACCTCTGTCGTTTATTTTAGTTTTTATCTTGACATTAATTTATTACTGGCTTCTAAATTCCAGGTGTTTAAGGTGAAGGTTAATTTTTGTCTTAACTGAAGATGTTTCAGGAGTTTCTTCAGGATCTGAAGCAGCCTTTTCAATGAGAAATCCAGTTTCTTAGATTTAGTTTATTGTCGTTGCACAAAGACACAACAGTGAATTTGGCAATGAAATGTCGTTTGGCTGCCAGAGTACACAAAAAAATTACTGAAAAACCATAAGCAAATTATAAATATATACAGATATATAAAAGTAATGTTGCAGATCATTGATAATCTGCACCAAATTTGCTGGTGGGTAAATTCTTAATATGATTACTGAAAAGATCAATAGTTCTCCTGGTGCCAACCAATGTGGTGTTTCTCAATTTAAGATAAAAATCTGATTTGATAATATTTAATTCCACCATTGTCTAGGTCTACTAGGGTTTTAAAAATAGTATGTACCAAAATTAGTGTAAGAACATCGAGTGATGCTGACCTGCCCCTCCTCCACCTGGTGACCAAAGGAGAACCATCTGTCATTCTTATTAAGACTGAAAGCTCGACCCAAACATAAAGCTTATTGTTGTGTTACTATATAAAGAGCAGGACTGCAAAGCAGCAGATTATTTTGTTAAAGATGCCTGTCAGAATCAGTGACTGGAAAAAACCCACTTCGTGTTCTTGTCACCAGACCAAAATCAACACCCCAAATAAACCAACAAAAACTGTGTTCGCAGCATCCAGGACATCGCCATCTTGTTCAATGTCATCATCATCCTCCTGATGATGTTCAACACCTACGTCTTCCAGGTCGGCCTTGTGTCTGTGCTGCTGGGCAGATTCAGGGCTCTGCTCGTTTTCTCCGCTCTCTACTTGACCCTCAGCATCTGCTTCCACTGCTGGGTGTTGGTATGCTCCATCCTTCTCAGACAGTTGTTTGCAAACAGAAACTTAGAAATTAAGACATGTCTGACTTTACTTCTCCATTCATTCAACGTACAGTGCTGTGAAAAAATATTTGACCACTTATAGATTCTTTGGGGGAAGGGGGATTTGAGGAAGATTGTGGCTGGGATTTTAATACAAAGTACAGTTTTAAAATGATTTTATTTATTGAGGAATCAACTCAACCATTAATTAACCACATTTTCCAGGAAAGCCATATCTGCCTGATTACTGGCTCAAATAAACCAACAAAAACTGTTGGTTTATTGAACAAAAACATGTCTGACAAAAACATGTCTGACTTGAACAAAAACATGTCTGACAGCATCAAGTAGGATGTGGCTCAAGAGGCAGGGGTTCATGTCGTAATTGGTGGGTTGCCAGTTTGAACCCCTGTTCCATCTGTCTGAGTCACTTTACTGTTGTATCTTTGGTCAGAGGTGGTGCCGATTAAGTGGCAGCCTCTATTCTGTCAGACTGCCCCAGTGGCTACAATGTAGCTTATCAACATTAGTGCCACTAAACAAGCCAGAGACTGTTTTGAGTCCTCTGACTTTATACAATTATATACAAGAGCAAACCCTTTACCATTACCATGAAAAAAATTGTGTAAAGCAATGACAAGACTTTCAATAAGTGCCAGGCCTCATCACTCGAAGAATCCAGAAAGTCTAAAGCTGTACCCCTGATGTTTGCCAGACAAAATTTGTGTTTATTACTAAAAAACAAAAATGTAATGTTTTTATTTTGTAAAATATTCTCATGGATGGGTCAGCCAATTATAAGACTTAGGACACGATTCCTTTTTCATATAATGATTAAGTTTGTTTGGATTTATTTTTCCCCTAATTCAATGAAATCATCATTGAAAAATAATGTTGAGAAATCTGTAATGGGGCAAATACATTTTCACAGCCCTGTGTAATTGCTTTGCATTGTGAGCATTTTATCTTTTTGCTCCCAGAACCTCAGATGGCTTGACTCGAACCGTTTTGTGTGGACAGATGGTCTTCTGGCTCTCTTTGTTTTCCAGAGAACAGGTAATTAATTCAAAGATAAAACAGATACAAACACAGTTACTCTTGGTTTTCCTTACTGCTTGTGTCTGTTAACAGCGGCTGTGTTGTACTACTACTTATACAAGCGCACAGCCGAGCACATGGGGGACCCGAGGCTGTATGAGGACTCTATGTGGCTGCGTGATCAATTTGCCAGAGCTCGTCAGTGACAACGGGACACTATTGAGAGAAACAATAAAGGCTCCTTGTGGAAACTGCCATCTGACAAAACTGGGCATGCACACCAGTGACTGATATCTGAATCCTTAGATTTTATGCTTGTGATGTGTTGGACTCCAAGACAATTGCCATTGAGCAGAGATTGAACTCACACTCTGTTAGTGAATGACTCAAAAGTTTCAGTTTGTTTTAACTGCTTCTCAAAGTGAGGCAGACAGGCAGTTAAATGGTTTACACTGGCAGGCAAGCCAAGGTTGGCGCATGTAGTATAGTATTAATCAGGATTGAGCCTGTTAATCTTTGTGGCCTTTTGAAAACAATCGACTACACACTTACTGCAAACGAAAGAATGAAAAAAGTTCAGCCTGCCTTCATTTCATTTTATGTTTTTTACCCATCAACTCTAAGACGTAAACCCTGTCCATTTGGTAGAATTTTATTATTTCCCTCAAAGAAAGAAAGCAGATGTTTGTTTTTTTTCCGCCTTAATAAAATGTTAGCCTGTGTTGTTTACATTGTAAAAGTGAGTTAAACAAGCCAATTTCTGTTTGAACTGTTGGGTTTTTAGTTGGAATCTTCGTATTGTGTTCAATGTTTTTTTATTAAATAATCCTGGTCTAATTACGGTGTAATCCTTCATTAGTAGGCTAGTCAGTATTATCTAGGAGACAAGGTGAAGCAGGGTGCCCTATTTTTAACCCAAAGATTAATCAGGGATTGAGGCTTTAAGGTGCCACTAGTAAAACACACCACAAATAGCTTTCAGTGTGTCAAAATAACTTACTATTATCAACCTGGTTAAAGCTGTGAGGCTGTTCGAGACAGGCAGTAAAGTTTGTCCAAAATCATTTACATTGTTAAGTGTGATAATATAGTTATCCCACTATGTCCAGTTCATATCACAAACTTAATTTTTTTATGCAATTGCCCAAAAGAAAATGGAGTTTAATTGTAAAAAGGGTGAAAAATTATACAAGGCTTTTATATTTATTTCTATAAATAAAAATCTGAAGATTGCTGTGCATTTGCATTAAGTAGAAACAATTTGATATTTCATAGAACCTTCCACTGCAATAAGGATTATTGTCGTTAGAGGAATATTAGTAGTTTATCTAAAAATTTTTTTTTAAAAAGACACCTTTGCCTCTTCTTTGCAAAGTAGCTGAAACTTAAGTAAGATTAAAGCCTTTTTTGCTCGGTTTGCATCTTGTAGAAATATTCTGGCATCAGGAGTGAATGACTGAGGGCCATCTTAACAGATTTTTATATCTGAACTCTGAATTACTTTATGACTAATTACCTTTTAGCTTGACAGCCATGCCAGTCTATTTCAATTAAATTACAGATTTAACAGAGCATGCGTTATTGTTGTACAACATGACCCTACTTTAATCCTAACCTGTCTATATTGTATTATTAAAATATGAATAGAATCACCACACACGAGACTTAAAGAACAACACCTTAATTTGTACAAATCTCCTTTACTTGTGAAATGAAATCCAGAGTCCATGTGATTCAAATAATATCGTCAGTGCCATCAAATTAAAAGCCAGAATCTTGTAAATGTTGTGATGGATGTTCTTTGTCCCCTTGGAATGTGTGATGTTCTTTTGACTTAGCCACCTAAAACAGCAGAAAAACAGATACAATTCAGTTAAAAGTGCTTAATAAACATAAAAATCTACTAAGAATGTAAAAGACAAGATGTTACATGTACCTTTATACGTAGATGCCAACCCACAGCAGTAAGAAAAGCACACCAAAGCCCATAAAAAGTGAAGCCACCAGTGAGATGAGCAGCTCCTTGTAGACGTCCCTTGTGTATTTTGTTGATGTTACTTCATAACTGATGAAAAGTTCAGGTAAACTCAGACTGAAGCACAAAGACAAAAAATATAATTTCTCTCAGTCTAATACATATAAAATGGTCTGGTGAAAGCATTAAAATATCAAACCCACCAATTGGACTTTTTATTCTAATTTTAATATTTGTATTTCCTCAGTTTGTTTTAAATGTCCGTAATTATTTTTTTACTGCCACAATATGTCATAATTCCACTTCATCACTGTAATTCATCACAACATTGGGATTTTTAATGACATTGGACCTGTTGTATGGGCAGAGAAATGCTCGATCTTCTAATTGGTTTTTGGTGTTTTTTTTTTTTTTTTGGCACAAGCTAACAGTTTGTGTGGATGTGCCATTATGTACAGCACAGTCTATTTTTTGTGTGTATCCTTTTTTTGTTTTTTCAATGTCTATTCTACATCCTCCAGCTGTGAGTTTGATTTCAAACATTTATATACCTCAAGTCCAGTGAATTGATGTCATCACATATTTTTGTTCAGTTCCTGCAAATTGTGTTGTCTATAACTCTGAAACACTGAAACTCTGCTGTTTCCCAATCAATAAATGAGATATTTCAAATTACATTACTATTTTTTGACACAAGAGTTACAAGTTATAGAAAATTTAAGCTGCCATATATGGGAACAATATAATCTTGACCCAGAAGCATCCGGAGACAATGCACATTTAATACTCGCATGTCATTTATGCTGTGTCCAACGGACAGTATAAGGTACAGTAGCAGAACCAGCGGAAGGATACACGAAGAACCAGGCTGTGAAGAACATTCCGATGGCCAGCAGGACCACAGTGAGGTGGGGGAACACCGCTGGGTTCACCGGGCTGGTGTACCTGGTCATGGCCTCTAGTTCCTGCAGCCACAATAAACAGTTAAGCCCACACACAAGCAGCTTAAAAATACTGACATTTATCAAAGTAACGCAACATTAAAACAATTTCCGGCTTTGGTAAGTGACACAAATAATGAAGACATTTAATGACTTGCTCTCAACGTTTGCATGCTTGCTAGCTGCTCCATTCAGAAAATGTATTGATTTATCGGGGAACTAGAATATAACGTGTAAAGGTGAAGCTAGCAAAATATATCAAGGTTGCATGTATAAAAGCAAAATATGATATACATTAAGTAATAAATATCTTAATTCATTACCATTTTGTGACGAAGCGAGATTCCCGCAGCTACTGTTCGAGATGAAAAGGCCACGTACTGTGTACTTGTTCCTGGTTTTTTCTGGACGTAGGGATGACGTCATTACGTCAGAATACTTTTTCCCTCATATTAGCCTTTCAGGAAAATTTGCCTTTCGAATCTCTCAGCGCTATATACATTTTGTTCGTTGTTGCTCTGTAAATTTTTACGTAGTGATCTACAAAGAAATAATCATCAATGAGTCTTTTATGTATATTCTGCCTGACAGACAAAATTCAGGGCATACCATACTATTTTCTTTGTAGACATTCTAAATAATGGACTGCCATCCTGTGGACAGGATGAAAAATGACCCAAGAAAAAGGAGACATATTCAGACAATGCAATAATCAATTTATTTGCTGCATGCAATCATAGTATTACAGCGTATTTTTGACCCAAAAAAGTTTTAATAATAAAATGTTTAAAAGTAGTGATATTATTTCAAGCAATAAGCTTCATTCTTATGCTATTCTTCTTTTTTCAAATAAAACTAAAATTGCAAATGTGTGCCCATCTTAACGCTAAGTTAATATATTATTGATAAAAACAAAACAAAAACAAGAATAACAAAAAACAGAAAAAATAAAGCACATCAGATAAAAAGGAGGTACAAAATGATGCAACAGAATAATATGGAATGCAGTTCTACCTTGGGAATCTGACATCAGCCTCATGCATTGGATGAAGCAAAAGCAGTTCATATATATATTTATATACAGTGAAAAAAGTGCTACAGTGGTTTATGCTAACTGGTGCTTTTTAAATAGCTAAAATAGTACCCTCTACCCACATGAGTACAGTGAAAGAATCACATAGTCTTCATTATAAATGCTATAATCTCTGTTTGATGGCTGTTCCTTCCATTTCTTGCTAGTTATCTTTGAGTTACTTTTTTGTTGTTGTTGTTTTTTCTGATTATAGATGTTTCAAACACACAACACATGACAATTTTTAATCAACACATTATGTCAGAAAAATGTCAAAAAATTATTAGAAATAAAAAATAAAATCGAAATAATAATAAAAAAAACATATAATACAGATGTAATAAAAACACTATCACTGCATAGTCTTAGTTTGTTTAAGGCATGGGGAAAATGTTTAATAGTGATCCAATAAAATACACAGAAGAGTAAAACCAGTGCAAAATTTTCAAATTTATCATTGCCCTTTCAAATACTCAGTTCCATGATCTAAAAGGTATAATACACCAGAAGACATCTACCCTCAAAGCCATAATGTAGTACTTAGAGAAATGATTGGACATGCACCTGAAATTGCACCTGAAACTTGCAATTATACCAATTATACCTCACCAGCATTGTCCGGTGAAGAAAGTACAGTGTAAGCTATTCCAGTGTTGGTAGAAATATTGTCAGTAAAATACTTTTTTTCCTCTGCAACATCCTAAAAGCAACAGTGTGTCATCATGTTTGTTTCCAGTTTTATTCTACACAGATATCTTCCAGTGATTTTGCAGAAGACTTGGCTCAGGGGTATCATCTCATATTTCCATCTTTCTATAAGGAGCAACTTCTATAAGGAGCAACTTCAGTGTAGCCAAATGCATAAACATTTATAATGAGTCATTCAGTGTTACAACTCTGTACAGTGTTTAATTAATTTTTTCCATAAAGATGAAGTGGACAGTGTAGATGCCAGTAGCAGTCTCAACATGAAGCTTCACTGTGGAGACTAAGGATTTACCAGTGTTCTCTAACTGAGGTATATTCAGTACTGAAGGCATATATATTTTGGGCTTATGCTATAGCTGGAAGACATTTTGATCAAATGTAAAGATAACCATATATTTTTGGATATTGCTTGGATCATGAGTGTTACAGTATTTAGTGTGTCATATTGCAGCCTCCACAATCACTGGCAGCCCTGCTAAAAATAATGTGTAAAAATATAGGAATCTTTCTTGCAGTTCTGTAATCTCACTCAATTCTTAAAAAAACATTTTAAAACATTTACTCAGTTCCAAAAGTAATGTGTTAAGAAATAATACCTTTTAATGAAATAAACCAATGGAGACTGCAGCAAGCCTGCTATAATTAATTAACTAAAATTGAATTATACTTGGCAAGCTAATCAGAAGGCTTAGGAACTATAACTTTAAGAAATTACTTTTTGTTTTCAGCATGACATCACAAGGAGCCCCATTGCTCCTAGTCACCCCGTAAAATACAAAAAAACAAGAGAACATCTCTCCCCTGTATCGATCATCTATTTATAGAGAAATAATAATAAACAAATTAAAACCATTTAAGCTGCAATCAAAAGGGCTAGATGAGAATACATTATCTTGCTACCACCTCACAGAAGCAAGACGGTAGAGGGCGTAAAATATATCCAAAATAAAATCTCCGTAACAGCAAAAAATCAGTAACACATGATAAATATTTGTAAAGCCACATAATGCCCACTGTTTAGTGTGACAACAGATCTACACTATTGTTTGCCTGGTCATCTAACAAAGGCCTTGTTTGAGTGCATATCAACATAAACTGTCCAAATTTCCAGAATGTTTTGAGTAAAATCCGGTGGCTCTTGTGAAAACTGATAATGGATCATCATTGGTACTTTCAGTAGTTTAATGATCCAAAACAGCCCCTGAATGCAATTAAAAACCAGTGGGATGACTGAAAGACAACAGATCAAAATGCAATATAGAAGTAAAAATATGATGCAAAGAGTAACGCTTAAAGGTCCCTCTGTCTGTAAGTGGTTCACACATTGCCATGAATGCATCTTTTGGCATGAGAGTTTCTTTCAGTCTGAATCATGACACACATTTCACTCCAGAGCAATCACAGCTGAAGTTATTGTCTGGATGTTTACACATTTTGAATGAAGGATGCCAACAACAATGCAGGGCGCTGTATTCCAGTGATCACAGGAATCAGGAATCACTTACTAAAAAATAATTTGGTACAGATTGCAGTTGGGACAGTGGTAAATTTTGTTCATCATGAAAATCTTTAAAGTAATATACAGTAAGAAGGAAAGATCATTCCATTATACACAATCTGCATCAAGAACCATAAACAGGAAATACATGATGAAGTGTGAAGAAACAGGCACACATCAACTTCCTCTTCACACGCAGCTGCTTTGAATGAGAAAATGGTAGTCGGAGTGCAATGGGATTTTCTCTTCTGTGGCACAACTCACTTCTCCCTGTCAACAAAAAATGAATAAATATATTAAGATCAACACAATCACAGAAAATCGAAGTTATTACACAAGATTTAGAAAATTGAGGGAGTCAGATGACAATTTTAGTATCTGAGTAAGTCCCTTATTTTTCTAGGCCAGCTTTACTCACAGAGTGAGAGACACGGAAGTGATAGGTCACGTCTTGGAAAGACGAAACGGGTACTGACCAGAGGTGATGAGTCCCCTTAGAAACAAGCAGACATTTTATCCGTGACGCAAATGTGAAATGTATTCTATGAAAATATAAATAGTTTATATAAGTGATACTTGTCATTTTTGGTCAGATGTACCTTTGTAGATGTCCGCTGTCCGCTATAAAGCTCTGACTCTGTGTGGTTGGGACATAAACGTCCTTTGGTGGCTCCACATTGTTTCACCCACACACTATTTCTTGACCTAAAAAAATGTTTAATTTCACTATATTTATTACAAATTACAATGTCCTGTAATATATTATAGTAACTACAGGCCTTTAAATACAAACATTACTACAGCATGCATCCCACTATATCTTCTATAGTCAAAAAGAGAAAGACAACATAAAAAAGTTAATGATGGTAACCAAAATCAAAATCACATTGATAAAATCAACAAAAACAGAATAAAAAAATAAAATGTGAAAGAGCAGTGGGGCAAAATGGTCAGTACTAAACTTAACATTACCAGAAAAATTGTTCAGCTTAATATGAACTCAGTAATGTATCTGTTTTATTTTTTACTTGTTGAAGCAGATACCTTTGAAATCAGGGTTTTAATGGGCTGGAAACACCATAATAAAGTAACATTTTGTAAGTTATCATAATAGCATAACAAAGTTTACACTTTTTATCACTTGAGAAATGCCTGTCATTGAAGCCTTTTCAGATATGAGTGTGTTGACGTCTTTGTTAGTCATTAGTAACTTAAAAAACGAAAGTCAGAAATCTTACTGTTACAAATGTATTTGGAAGATATAACAAATAATAAAAATATGTGCAAAATCTTATTTAAGAGATTATATTTTAATCTCCTGGAAAATAAGACAAGAAAAAAATATCTGGAAACACAAAATAATGAGATCCATGACATTTTAAGACCTAATAAAAACCCAGCAAATATGATTTAACACAATCACATTATTTGTGTTATTGTGCACCCAGGCTATACTTACATCATGTGTAGTGTAATTTGTGGCATGGAATGATTTTTTTGTCCCCTAAGTGATAGAGTGTAGCTGCGGAGGGACACAAAACAAGCATTAATAAGAGATATTGAAAGTAAAAGCAAAAATATCTCTATATATGTCCACTAATAACCAAGAATTATTATTATTCTGATTTCAGACCTGCAGCTTTCTGCTGACTCACAACTTTGTGAGGTAATTTCTTGGTTTGTCTCCACAATGTGAACACTTTTTAGAGATGGAGCTGTCGCTGATCCTGTGATGGAAAAACAAAATGCATCATGTTCTCTAAGCCAGACTTATACCGTCATACATTTAATACACAATCTTGATTTTCTGGTCATTAAACCCAATGCTTCATATTATTTGTGCATTTTCTGCTAATGTGTAGAGAAGTGTCATAGCTGGGTTGTGGTCATGCAGGTACCTTTAGCATGCAGGCTGCGTTGTCTCCGTGGTGCTGGCTGTTGACCTGGAGGCAACCGGTTGGTGGTTCCCACGCCTTCTGCATCTGGGGACACAGGTCTCTTGGACTTGGCAAAGTACATGGGTGCTGATGTGTGGCTGAGACGGTTCCTGTTGTGGCCGTCTTTGTCCATTTGCCTGGACTTGGCCTTTTTGATGATGGTGCCAGGAGTGGGAACTGGGATGCTCAAACCTTGAGAGGACAGATAATTAATCTGTAAAGTGAGCACATCTGCTGTGTAATATACAAATTTTTCTCACCAGATGTGGATTGGTTACTACTCAATGTCAGAGTAGTTGCTGATTGGTTGTTCACAGCTGTGGTAGAACAGCAAGCTGTTGATGTTTAACATAAAGGGGGGGAAACAACATGATTGAGCTTAATTCATTAAGCTGAATAATTTCACAATCAAATCGAAGTCAATAGTACCTGGTGCAGGTGTGGTAGAGACTGAAGTTAAAGGATTCTTGTGGGATGATTCCAGTGCAGCTTTTGACCTGCATCAATCATAAACATACTTTAATGCATTCCAGTGATTTATATTATGAAGATATGTGGTACATAATCCCATTTCACACAAAACAGAAACAGCTGAACAATTTAAGTTAGGTATGACAGAGCTCAAGGAAATCTAAGTAGTAGAAAAGCTGGTGGTGTACCATGTGCAGACAGGGGGACAGACAGTTATAGTAGCAGTGAAGATAGGCATCCATGAGATGTAGAGAACACAAGAAGAAACATAGCTACAGGAAACAGAGACATAGTTAACAGGATCATTTTAAAAATAGAAATGGAGAGATGTTGTGGTAAGCTTGTCTCTGAATCTGAAAAGTGCATACCCATCTTTCTCTGTGACGGCTCCTCTATGGTGAAGAGTAAGAACGTAAAGGACTGACATCGAAATGACGCTGCAAACAAACAAGCAAACAGGCAAGACTTAATCAAACCAGATGTATGCATTAAAAACTTTCACGTACTCCCATTACTGCCTCCCATTACTGCGTACAAACCTGAAGGCCATGACAATAAGAAGAGCCAGGATGATTCCCTGCATGAACCTCTGACTGATGCAGCCCTGATCAAGAGGTGAGCTCTGGAACAGGCAGATTAAACACAATGATATCTGTAGAAACTGCAGTTCACCAATATATAGGTAGTTTTGCAAAGGACTATGTAACTTAAAATGCTATAATTCAGGCACACACCTTGCTCCCGGGTTTGACTGTTTTTTTCTTGAGCGGACCACTTCCTGTTCTGCTAAAATAGCTTCCTGACTGGCTATAAAGACACACAAAAAAGTGTTTTCATCGAGCACGTGGCACATTTTAGATGGACCTACGCCTAAAAATCAAAAGGGATTTGTGTTTCTTTCTCACCTCACCGTGCTGCCGCTCACTGTGCTCTTCATGCTGTCAAGGCGCCGCAGCTTGGCCAGTTTGCGACTCCAGCGCTCAAGTTCATCTATGCGAGTCTCCAGGTTGTCCGTCAGCTTGCAGAGCTCCTTCACAGCTCCAACATTCTCCATAAAGATACGCTCCTTCAAAAACAACAATACACAATCAGTCCCTACAATATATAAAAGCTCTGTTTGGTTGAAAATGTATTTCTGTACGATCCTTACCTTATTGACTACTAAAAGGTTGGGAATAGTCTCTCCATTGGCACAAACAACATCACCTCCTTCCTTAACAGCTTCAGGAAGGATCTGCTGAACTTCCTGAGCAATGACACCTGTATGGAAAGAAGTAGAAGTATAAAGAGCATCAAGAAGATGCAACATGTAGATGATGAAAAACGCACAGACACATACTGTATTACACATCGTACCAGGAAGATAAAGCTGCAGAATTAGAAATAATTACCTGTCTCTGCTGTGTTCTCTATGCCCACAGTCGCGGCAAACTCAGGCTTGTATTGGTAATGAACCAGCCTCATCTGAGAAATCCGTTTCAAATTGTCCGTGGTGTTAACCTAATGAAAGATAACAGCACTGTATGAATACAAAAAGTATGATGCAGAAAGTAGCTTAATGTGAAAAGTGTTGAAACACTGTTTGAAATGCAGTTACAGTATATAATACACTGGGTGTGATGTTTTAAATGGTGAACTTTTCATTTTTTATTTGACATCAGAATAGGTGATGAAGCAAAGATAACAGCTGAAAAATACTGGGAAAATTATGTGATGCTAAAGAAAACAGAAGAAAGTTTCACAACTTGATCGGTGAAAGGTTGGCAAAATGTGTAATAGTCCGCCCCAACTCCCCAAGAGTCAAACATCACTGCTTAATCTATAAAAGGCAAAAAGGAAACAAAGGAGTGTCAAAACTTTTCTGAATTATAATGCTAGGATCAAATATATAATAGGCGGATAGGCTGATGAAATTCAACATTGCAGAGTTTTGTTATTGGTTATCTGTCTTTGTGCTATTTTAGACAGATGGTAATAGTTAGATGTCTGTTTTTTTTCTTTGGCTTCATCTTTCTTTTGACCAAGTGTGTGCTATTATTATAAATCTATACTTGAGGGTGTTTGTTTGTGCTCAATCCTCTGATGTATGCATGTTTAAGACCCTTATTTTGAATTAGGAAAGGATATACTTCCTGTTTTCATCTGTTGCTTTTACAGAAAATGAAAATGAAGACTACTTTCCAGGCAGGCAAACAAAACATAGCAGCCTAAGACTCTTAAAATATAGGATAGAAATTTCTGGATGTATAACACAAACACAAAAAATGAACATTCTCACTTCTTGTTTGGTATAGGACCAACTTAGAATTAATCATGTCAGGCCTGGAATATTGTAAACCAATTAAAAATCTATAAATCACAGATCGTGACTAATCAAACCTTAGTCTGATTAGTTAAACTAAAGTTGAAATCAAATTTCAAATAAAATTTGAAATTTGATTTCAAATTTGTTCCACCTGTGAAATCAAATTTGCAGGAATTTTTAGATTTCTCCTACTTTTGCTAGAATCTTATTCTCATGAACCCAATATCATGTTTTATGCAGTGAGGTGAAGTATGACATCTGACATTTTTTTATGTCACACACTCATCCTGACCTCCTGGACATTTTCTTTTGCTCTGATGTCTGATGGATGGACAAGGGATCCCATGACTTTGACGTTGCCGTGCACAACGAGAGCCTCGTCTGGACGGTCTGTACTAATGCCGACTCTGCCGTGGTGGTACACGGAGTCTGGCAGCTGCCCACGCTGCCACAGAACCTCATTATCACTTTCAAACTGGCCTGGGTTGGATGCCTGTCGCAAAAAAATCAAAGGAAGATGTACACTGGGAATCAGATTCACATATTAAAAAATAGCAATGTGGTACACAGTGGAAGTAAAACACATATTTGGAATATTGAGCTTACACTCATGGTAAAAAAAAAGTATGTCCATCTTACGTTTTGTAAAAACAATCTCGCATTTACTGTGTGCTGAAGACAATTAAATCTAGCCTTAAATTTGTAAACCCAAATACAATATATATTTTATTTTATATATTGAGAGAAATATGAAAAGAAGAAACATTGCAAAATCTACAGCTCAGAAATCATAACTTTATACAAAACCTCAGTAATTAAATAACATTTCTTTTTTACCATGGTTGTGTTTGCTTTATATACACTTTTGATTATCACAGCTACACATTTTTACATAATAAAAATCTCATTTTTATATCACAATGATAAAAGCAAAATGTCCAAAACACGTAAATGTCACAAAAAAGACACATTATGTTTCTCTATCTCAAGCAGTTATGATAAATAATTGTAAAATAAATACAACAAACATTGCTGTCCAGCAAAAAGCTTTTTAAATAATAATTTAGGCCATGAGTGGTCATTCACCACTTTGGCAAACTTGCCTGGGATTTTCACAGATCACTTTTAAATTCCGGGTGTGGTGCTGGTTTGTTAGATCTCCAAACATTTATTTTCTGATTTTCGTCTTCTCACTTGATAAGTGACAATCAGCCTTTGCCTTTCTGAGCTCATATTCAAGCTAGAGACATTGTTGTTGCTATTTAGAGAATTTCTTCCTAGGTTTTGGACGTACAAATTAATATAGCACTCCGAGCTACAAATAACTGTTGTATTTGTAGCTCAAATTGTCCGTGGTGTTAACCTAATGAAAGATAACAGCACTGTATGAATACAAAAAGTATGATGCAGAAAGTAGCTTAATGTGAAAAGTGTTGAAACACTGTTTGAAATGCAGTTACAGTATATAATACACTGGGTGTGATGTTTTAAATGGTGAAGGATGAAGGACCATGAGGAATTAAAAAGTGCTTAAAAATACGCAACCGCTTTAATTTTTAGATGTACATTTTTGTAACCACCAGTTTTTTACTTATGTTTGGAACTGTACTCCATCTCTTTGTTCATGCTATTATTTGTTGCATCACTGCTGACATAATCAAACTTCAAAGTTTGCAGCCTGTAATTTGGACACACCTTGCGTCTACATCACCACATTTTGTTCATAAAATAGAAAATTCTGTGAATTCACTTTTTACAGGACAGCAGCATCATGTATTCTTTCATCATCTGAGCTCTGGGGAGCAATTTTTTTTTTTCGAAAATGAAAAGGTAAGATCATTCACACAGGTTAAAGGAATGGAGAGGATGCAGTTAGAAAGGGCCAAGGAGCTGATCAATAGAAAAGTTTCACATTCACACGGGATATGATTGCTGTAAGAAGGAAACAGACATGGCCAGACGTTACCCTGACGATGATCCTCTCAGACACATTTGCAGCCACAGTGTAGCTCTGACTGTGGGACTGTGCATGCAGGGCCACTACCAGCATGAAATATCTGCAAAGATTAATGCAGTCAAAAACAAGAGACTCCTAAGGGTCATAAATGCGTACAAATGTTTATGTAGCACACTTTTTCTACCTCTGATCAGGATTCGGTTTGCCCTTCTTCCTCATGTTATTTGCTGTGGTCTCGCTGAAGTGGAGCCGTCCCACTGTAACTTTGGTGACCTGCTCAGGGGGCAACGTGACCCTGGCACACAAAGACACATATAATGATGGCATAATTGAGCTCATGATTGATTCAGAGATTTCAGGAGCATGGACATACAGCACTGGCTTGAAAGGCCTCTTGCTGCGGTCAGACTGTGACTGTTCCACACTGATCGATTGATTCATGGCTTCCACCTGCCAGCAAAGAACAAAAATTGAATACTTAATAAATACACACCCTTATACTCGGCGTCAAATTAAAGGTGTGAGTGTTTTTCCATATCATTATTCCTTAAAAACATTCATAAATCTACAATTTATAGAATATGGAAAGTGATAAATGTCAGGTTGTCCATCATCAAAGGACCTAATCAAGCCAAGTTGGTACCATACATACATCTGAAATCATGCTTTGACTGTCCAGCATGTTTCCTTCACCTTCACTCCATGGAGTTTGAGATAAAAGCAGTCTATGGGCTGCAGGCCTTCATTCGTCTTGATATATTTAGCGTCTCCAAGCATCCCAATATACACTGTGACCTGGAAGTGGTTCTTCTTCTGACATACAAAGGCATCGTCAGCCAAGGAGAAGTTGAAGCCTTTGTCAGCATCGACGCGGTAGGTTGGCATCGGTCTAAATAGGGAAGAAGAAAATCTGCTGAATTTACAGGTAATTTTCACAGAACTTGTTACTTTTTGTAATTAAGTTGCACTTCAGTAGGTTATAGGTGACTTTCTTTAAATTATTTTATGTAAACCTGTGTTTATTTTACTTTTAGTAAAATAAAAAGTTACTTTCCAAAAATTTATTAATTATGTTTCCAGAAAATACTAATTATTTTCTTTCAGCTTAAGTAAATAAATTTCTTTGATATTGATTTTTGTAAAACTACTAATTTCCCTGACAGATTTTTTTTCACTTGATTAACAATTATTAACATATTATAAGTGAAAAATCTGCCAGTGGAACTAGCATTTTTATTCATATTAAGGAATAATCGACTTGAAACAAGCTCCTATATCTTAAGAGTTTGTTTTGTCTTATGTCAAGTGTACTGAAATACTTGCACTAGAAACTAGACCAAAAATACTTTTTTTATTTTTCCCACGTAGGAAAATATAGATTTAATTATACAAGTTCAGAAAAACTGAGCTGTACAGCCAGAAAAATCACAAGCTATCAAGAAAATTTTATGTTTAAGCATTAGCATGGCTATTCATCTGTATACGTCTGCTAATTGGAGGTCACCTCAGATGAAACATTCCCTTAAAATTTTGTAGCTTTGAAAAAAAATCACCCCCGTATATTTTCATAATTTAAGCATTGTGTGCTTAGAGCTTCAATGGTCAACCAGGTGGTTTTGATAACATATCTCAAAGGTCTTGGGAGTTCATTCCACCTCCCTCCCTATCTTGTTTGGCACTGCAAAAGCACAACGAGGTGCAACACATTTTTTTTCCCCACTTTATCCTCGTCGACGGTGTCTGTCTAAATTGAAACCCTGCTCTTGTTCACTCCCACATATACCTCACTGCGCAGGAATGTTGTGGAAAGCCATTACTTTTCCACTCCTGTCGTGCATTTTGTTGAATTATACCAGTAACCAATTAAATCATAGTTCATTTTTGACTCTAAAAAATCCATTAATCTCTTTTTGCTTCTGCAAAATATAGCAAAGATGAATTCCACGCACAGGTCCTTTCCGTTGGCATCATAAAGGGGTGTCCATTTGTTCTGCTGGTGGGGTTGCCACTTGATGCACTGATAGTTTGGGTCCAGGTAGGTGTTGTCTGCATCCTGCATTAAACCTGTGACAAACACGTTTAAAACAGCTGACTTTAACGGGTTGAAGCTTCATGCAATGAACTTTCTGTTCTGTAAATCTGTGTTAAGAGTTAGTGAGAGCTGGTGAGCGTGAGGTAGAGGAGGCAAGGGAGGGAGGGAAGAAAGATGCCTGCCTACCTGGTTCCTGTTTGATGATACCTGTGAGGATTTGGGAATTCAAGGTGCTGTTGGGAGATTCAGAGTGCTTCCTCTTCTTGGTTTGATGAACAGGGATGCTGCTGCAAAAACAAAATCAGAACTGATCGTGTCTGATGTTTCAACACACGCTGGCGAAGACCTTATCCACCGACTCACTCTTGCCCCTGAGGATGCTGCAGCAGCTGATGGAGCATTTGTGTCTGCTGCATCTCCCCTCCCCCACTAGTTGCTGGGCCGATATGATACTGCGATATCATGGGCTCTGGCTTTAGGTACATGTCTCGATGCATGCCAGGATAGTGGCCGTGTGGTGGGAGAGGCGGTGTTGGAGTCATCTGGCACATATTCTCGGGAGTCATGGTTCTGATCATGTGAGAATCTAAACCAAAGATTTGAGAATGCAAGAATACTATTTAAGAGGCTAACTATAATCTAAATGTTGAAATAAGGTGAGATTAATAAAACAATGAAACAATATATTTGGCTGAAAAGTCGGTGTCTAGTTTAATTAAAATAAAATAAACCAACACAAGGTTTGGCGTTTGAAGTCCTATTTTCTAAAGCAAAAAGCGAGCTACTCACCATTCACCTGTTGAGGGGAATAAGGCTCAGAGCTGGAGTCTGGTGGGGACTCAGGAAGAGTCCTAGCAGCAAAGATTCAAAGAAGAAAAGAAAAATAATGGGAATTAATTTAAAACTTATAACACAGGCATGTTAGTCTCTAGAAATGTTAAATCTATTTAAATATCGAGCATTAACCACTTCATCTGTTGTGCTTTTTTCTTGTTCTGCACTTTCTCATAACCAGCAAGGTCAGACTTTATGTTTTTGAGGACATAGGTGGACTCTTTATCTCTGTTATCATCTCTCTCATCTTGACTAACACTTTAAATGACTAAAGTATCATTGTTAATGATACTTTGAAGAGTTGGTTTTTGTCTGTAATGGCAAAGTAAGAGTATTGTATTATGTATTACTAATCAAAATTCCAATTATTAGCAACCTGGTACAGCTGTGGAATAATATGAGAACATTTAATTTTGTTATATTAATTCTGTAAATGAAAACATACTCTCTTTCCCACCAATAAAATAAGTATTTTAAAATTTTTAATTGATACTTTACTTTTTTTAAGTTGATCAGAGTTTAAACAAATGTTTAATAAATGATCCATGGTATTACATTTCTTTGATATATAAGTTGTAAAAAAGGCCAAATGCCATTTTTATAAAAATGTGAAAGACAAGAGAACATGATATTTAAGAAAGATAAATACATGTTGAAATCATGAGATGGCTGAAATTGAAGAATGCCTAAAATGAATATTATTTATCAGAACATAAAGCAAAATGAGAAATGCAGCAGAGTGGCGTCACCAGCGCTATCGGAAGAAACACTTGCTAGTTCATTACTGTTCACTGAGTCAAACAATGTCTGTGTTTCTGTGTTTGACGAAGGCTGTTTGCTTGAATGATCAGGTGGAATTAAACAATGAAACAGAAGCAAATCAGCAACAAATTTAACAAAATACAAGCATGTAGTTCCTTAATATCTAATAACATGGTCTTTTGTTCTCATGAAAATTTATACTTTCAGTTTAGCTTGTTTTATATTGATAAAGTCAGCAAAAACAAGGGGTTTTTGTGATTGGTTGTCGGCCTTCTTTGATAATTCCCCCTTTTTCTGTGGTAAGATATCAACAAGTTTTAAAAGGGAACAGCTTCATTTGACTAAATTTGATATGATAAAATACACAGAAAAATAGAATTAGGCTAAAAATTTATTCTTTGAAGGGTATTCAGGCTCTGTATTCTTTTTTTAATAAACTAAGTAAACTAATTCAAATAACTAATTACTTTTGAAGATAAGCAATCAGTAAAGTAATTGAATTGCTTTTTTTGGGGAAAGAAGTAAGTATAATTTCCAAATAACTTAAGCAACCCTCTGATAATAAATTCCCAGTCTTTTTTCTGAACTACTGTGCTCACCCTGGAGCGTAATGGCCCCGGTGCTCTGGCTTGACGTGAGCCTGTTGCTGCTGCTGCTGGCCCAGGCAGGGGTAACCGTGCCGGAGTCCGAGAGACGGACCCTGGGGGTAGGCGTTCTGACAACTAGGTGGCCCGGCTGGAGGGGCACCTTGACGCAGAGGAATAGGGGGACTCACACCACACACCAATCCTCCAGAGGAGGACACTCCTGCCTGAGGAGACGAATAATTTGGTCCCGGGGTGCTGTGGACCTCTGAGAAACAGCTGGGAGAGGGAAAAAAGAAGAAAGAAGGGATTAGCCTTATCAGAAAAAACAAATTCCTTTGTAACAACATGGTTTGCTTTGGTTGGGGCATGTTGTTTTGACATTGCTGGGTTAGTCTGGAGTCCCTACTGACATGTCAGTGCTATCGTCCTCCTTGCTGATGTACTCTTCCAGGATACTGGTGTCGATGTTGGCTGGCTCCAGAGAACTGGTAATATCATGACCTGTGGAGAAGGGAGGGTTGGGAACGTGAAGAGAGAAGATGGAGAGCATCTGGGGATTAGCAACAGGAATCCATCAGCCGCTCCACACAATGCCACAACTGCTCAGTCCAAGTGTTGCAACAATTTCCTGACAGATTTATCCCACAAATGTCTTTGTGAGAGCTCTGTTGATTTCAAGGTGTAAAATGTGATAGTGAGACCTGATGACATTATCTTGAACACTTAATTATGATGTTGTGAAATGGCAGGTTGTGATTGGCAAACAGGAAGTGTAAAGATTAAGATTTCAGATGTGACAAGGAGTCAAAGGATGTGTACATAGTGATGATTCAGAGCCTCCAACTTTGTTACACAAACTGTTTTGTACTGAAGCTACATTTGTTCTACTTGAAAAAATGTTGAGTTAAATTAACCCTATATTTCCAAAAGTATCATTTTTGACATCATAACAGATGTTTATATCTTCAATAAAGTTAGTACTTTCCTGCTGTATCTAGAGATATATACATTTCTTTGGGGGAGGCTTCTATTCATGTCCCCTAACGAGTAAAGAAAAGTCAAGCAGTCATAGTTTAAGAGAAGAATATGTTAAAATGTTTTTAAACATAGTTTAGAGCAATATAAACTATGCACCATACTGGTAGAGCTCACCTTCAGATCCTAAAGGGTATGACATATCAGCTATTTTTGTGAAATAAAGTTTTCATGGTTAAATATGTTCATTTTCAAGTGGACATATTGAGACACAAATGCAGAGAGAAATCTTATGTTTTTCATTTTTCAGTGAAATATTTTAACTACAACCTGTAATTGGCAACTCTGGGTAACCACAAATGGGTAACCACATGAAAATGAATTTAGTTTTATAAGCTTCATGACTAAAACTACCAAACTATCAAAAGGATATCAAAAATACAATATATTTCCAAATAGTTCTATTATTTATTGTATTCACATTTAAAGTATTCACTAGTCAATTGACTTATTTTTCCTATAAATATATAGACAATGTTACAAATAATTCTACACAGAAGTATTTCCAAAATCCAACCCAATCTTTCCCCCGGGTCATTTTCAGCCTTTGATTGGCAAAGCCTTGCAAATCCCAAACACATGACCTCACTTAGTCTTGAAAACACAGACGTAGAATGAACACCTGCTTATGAATATATTTCTTATAGAGATAATCACCATCAGTCCAAATGTTATAATTGAAAAGTAAATATTTTTTTAAAAAACCTCTAAGATTGTGCAAACAGAACAAATTAGGAAAAAACGGACTTGCTACAAGTGGGTGGGTAGGTGGGACACCCCACTCTTTTAAAGCCCAAACACCACCCCCATAAACACACACATACACGCACCCACGCGCACGCATTCACTCCTCCTCCAATAGATTAGGAAGGTCCTCAGCTCGAAACTTGGGAATGTGAGGAATTTTTGTGTTAGAATTAGAAAATATTTCACCTTTTCCCTTTTCTCCATCCATTTCTAACTGCCATCAAAACACAACACAAATGTTGCTCCATGCTGCTAGAGTCGCAGCTCCTATAATATTTTATTACCGAGATCTACTGTTTGCAACAAAGGTGACTAATGTGTTATATCATCCTGAAAAAAAAGCCCCGTTTGAGAACATTTCCAGTGAACAGTCATATCGCATATCTTTCAACCAGAAAAACCCACAAACTTGAGCACTTGTCTCAGACTAATTAAATTAAATTTAAGATTTAAAGTTATAAATCCTTGTGTTGCCATTTTGATGACAAAAAAACAATCTTGCTTCTCAGAAAATAAACAGCTGGTGAATGTCTCTTGATGCATGGTAGTTAAAAAAAAAAAAAGAAGGAAGAAAGGCAAGATGGTTCTTTTTAAATAGGATCCAGATGTGCACCCCACCCAAAGAGGCAGTAAATTTAAGCTGGCAGGACTGATAACAGAAAATAGGGAGATATGGGGAAAGAGGAGGGAAGATTGATAGGGCCTAAGGAAGGCTTGGGGCATGAAAAGAGAGGAAAAAGGTATGATGTTCAAGGTTGGAAAGACTTTACAAACAAAGGAAAGTGAAAAAAACACTTAAAACTGTGGCCCAGGAAACGTGTATTCAAAACAAGATGGCATTGAAAACTAATAATAGGGTTTATAATTTTTTTATTGAAATGACTAGTTAGTATCCATGCAATCCATCACTGTGATTAAGTGTCAAAGATGTAAATATAGACATGTTCCAAAGTGTATTTAAAATTAGATTTCTGTCACATTGGTGCTTATCTTGCCATGTTGATGTGCCTAAAAGACAAAGTGCAAAGCCAAAATGTGCATTTTACAAAAACATTAAGCCCTGTCACTGGCCAATTAATAGCATCCAGGAATGCAAAGGGACTTTCCCCCCACCTGTTGCTGAGTTCTGCTGATCAGCTGAACAAAGGCTAGTACAATTTCCCATCATTTACGACTCATATAAATGCAGCTGTATGAAATATTTACAGTTACTGCAAAAGATAAAGAGGGGAAAAGCTTAAGAGCTTTTTTAATTCTACAGTTGGCAAGGTTTGATGAGTATAAGGACCAAATTCACTTGTTAATGATGTCCCCGTCTCTTATTGGTGGAACTCGATAAAGATCAGAATGGCAAATTTGCACAGCATTTTTAAGGATCTGAAAACTGTTATTAAATTCACTGAGTTATTATTCTATATTCTGCTAAAATTTAGGAATTAAATAATGATAACAAATTTTATAGGAAACATTTTTGTTGCAGTTATAATCAATATATTATTTCATTTAGGTGGGAATACTGTTGGTTTTTCATTCAAAGAAAGAAAAAAACTTAGATACTGCAGATATTAATTTTTATTTTCATTTTAGTTTACTTTTCCCATGATTTCATTCTGGGAAAAGTTAAATCATAGTATTTTAGTCAAGATTTTCATATAACTGGGTCATGTTCAGTGTGTTTAAAAAGTCATTAATTTAACCTTTATTTAACCCGGATAAAGTTCCTTGAGATGAAAGACCTCTTTTACAACAATGTCCTGACAACAAACACTTAGGATGAAGAGAGTAAAAATAAAGACATGACCAAGTCGATTTCTTTTGTTGTGGCAGCAGCATCTTATTTCTTCCCTACACTTAATAATTACCTCAAATATAAAATATAACTCAACATTCCATACAGAATCCAGTAAAAGTGAAAAATAAATTTAAAAAAGATCAAACTGTCATTCTTTTGAAGCTACTTCATGCATTTGGCATGCTGAGTTGAGTAAATATTCCTCAGTGTTGACAGGACCTTTGCACATCATAACACAATTATGAAATGTTATTATTATTGAGTCATACAGCAACAGAAAGTGACAGAAAAGCATTAAAAACAACAGACATAAGTGACTCCTATTATTGTCAACCCCATTTAAATAAAACATTCTGTGGCTGAAGTCCAGTGATCTGCTCTTTCTCAGTACAACTCAGCATAAAATGTCCTGTTTGTGTCAAAGACGCCATTTGATACAAAAAATGCTTCAAAACGTAAAGGGTTTTGATTAAAGAGCTGAGAAATAAATTATTTACAAAGAGAATTTAAACCTGCTCGCTGTTTTTTTGCTTTTGTTTTTATTAATTGGTAAAATAACGCAAATCTTGAAGAAATCAACTCACTATGGAAATAAACTGAGTCCTTCCCATCTAGTTGTAAATGTTATTGTTGGTAGATCACTGCTCTTTTGTAAGAATGGGGTACTCCAAAAAAAGAAGTTTCACAGTTAAAACTGTGAAAATGTACAGTTTCACAGTAAACATATAAACTCTATTTAATTGGTGTTGTGTTATTTTGTTATCTAATTTTGTTGTGATATAGCTTTTTTTAATACAACAATGAAGAGAAAGGGTTTATGTCACACCAAAGCAAAAAATAAATAAAATTAAATAAAAGATTCTTCTGTTTATATGCTTATTTTAATGAATAATAGTAATTAAAAGAGCCAATGTCATTTGGTTTAGAGAGAAGATTGACAGAAACGTAGATCAAGCATGTGTAACATGCAAATTACTGAATCATCTTAACTGGCTGTGGACTGAATGTGTAGATTTCCCTGTCCTCTATGTTTTTCTCTGTCCAGCTGTGTCCAGCGGGGAACAGTGAAATGCTTGTCAGCCTGACTTCGATACAGACGTGCCTTTGGAAAGATTAAGGGTTGTGTGAGCATACGCGTGCCCATGTGAACACGCATTTGTTTGTTTTTACGTGAGTGTGTGTGTTATGCCACCATTTCAATAGCTTGGTTGTCACACAGAGGACAGAGTGTGCGAGTTCCGATTAAAGATGATTTGATGAATATGATTCAGAAAAATGTGGTTTTATTTTGAGTAAGAACATATTTGTCCAGTTCCAGACATGAGTAGAAAATGTAGCAATACAGTGTGTTCCCTAAGGTAATCTTTGCATTTTATATAATGCATAAAGTTCTTATTTGTATTTATCACACCATAAATTGCATTTACATGAGTGCATTCATGAGTGGCATAAACTTTTAAGGAGAACTTTGAACATCCAAGCTGTTTTTTACATGTTGACCTTGAGTCAAGCATCATTAAATGATCTGCCAGTCAGTGGTAAACAAATGTTGTAAGACCATTTTAGCATCTTTTACAGGAAAGTGTTTCCCTTAATGGTAGGGGAATTGTGACCTTTGTGTATATAAGAACTGGAACGAAAATATCTATCTAAGCAAACGCCGGTTACTGACAGTATGTTTTTCTCTTCCCACTCTATAAAATTAACTACATATACAAGAAAAATAGTTTGTTTAAGCAGTTACGGTAACTGCTTAAACAAACTATTTTTCTTGTTCATCTTGGTTTCTGTAACCTCAGGCCTTGTCTTACCGTGCATAGCCTGCTGGAGGCAGGGAGAGCAATGGAGTGATTTACAGATACAACAGAGTAAAGAAACCTTGGAGGGTATAAGAGCTACCCATAATTTAAAAACTTTATCTAAATGG